TTAGGATGCGGAGTTGACCACCGTAGGGCAATATCCTGATGGACACAGGACACAGCAGGCAGGGGACAGACTCCGCTGGCCTCTGGTTTCCGTGGGGGAGGAGTCCGTACAAATGGCTGAGCAGAAGCGCTAATGAGTCTTGGAAACAAAGTGGGTCTGTGCAAGGCTTTGATGGACACAACCTGCTCGTATTTCAGCACAGAGAGAGAAAAGGAGCAATTAGGGAGAAAGTCTGGGGCAAGCTGAGAAGAGCAAGGGATTCAGAAAGGCCCCAGGGGCTCTTGGCCCTGACCCCATCCTGGCCACCCCCCAGGCCTGGTGACCTCAGTCCACTCCTCTGCTCTGGGAAGTGTATCCCATTTTCATTTCTTCTTTAAAGGGTGGACGGTTTCATTTTGATATGTTTGTAATCTAATCTTAGATTTTGGAGATTGGCACAAGTTGTAAGGCACAACTTCAATTTTAGCAACTCGCTTGGGTTCTCTTGAGTAAAGCTTGAGGGCTTTACTCCTTAAATGACACAGCCCTGGAGAAGTCCCTGGTACTGGCTCCTTGAGAGCCAGAGTGGGCCCGACGCAGCTGTGCTGGTCGCTCCAGGGCTGGGGTAGTGTGCGATGAACCCCAGCCCCAGCGGTTCTCGCCCCTGTGTTAGCACTTTGGCCCTCTGCCCTTCCATACCACCCCCGCAGCACCCCACTTCTCTTGTTGGCTGGGAAAAGAACTGGAAGTCTAACTTTACCACAGGCCAGGTAAAACCAGGTAGAAACTAGAAACTCGCCCTCCTTCTACAAGCCGCACACATGCCTTCTTTCCTGTTCCCTCCAGTTGAGTGTGAGCGTGTGTGTGTGTGTGTGTGTGTGTGTGTGCGCGCGCGCGCGTGCGCGCTTGTGCATATGTGCAGCCCAGTTGGGCTGCATGATGCTCATCTCCGAACTCTGCTTCCAGAATTTCCAGGAACTTCTACAGCGCATGGAAGACCTGGAGAGGCTCGTCAAAGGGCGAGATGATTTCCTGGTAATGGAGTATCAGCCCGCGCTGGGGGGAGGGCCGTTCACCATGTGTGTTGGGGAGCAGCCTGGCTTCTCACTGTGGTTTTCCCAGCTGCCCCTCTGCATGCCCACTGCCCCAGCATGGAGAGTGAAATCCTTTCTATCCTCGCCCCTGCCCAGGGGAGTCTCACAAAGAACTAGCTGCATATGTGTTGTCTTTTATTGTCAGGAATATATAAGCCAGAAACTGAACATTGTTCCTGGTGGAGAAGAAGTGACCATGGTCACCTGGGAAGAGCTAGAGCAAGCCATTGCCCACGGCTGGAGGGCCACCCAGGCGGTAAACGAAGGGGGTCGTGGTCTTGAGTGGGGCGCTTCAGACCTCTGTCTTTTTACCACTGCACAATATTTTGGTGTATGGATTTTCCTAATTTATTTCACAAGATCCATATTATGGGTATTTGACATATTTTTTTCAGTTTTCTAACAATTGTTCCAAGATGGCATTCACACATATGAATAGCAGAAATGTCTAGAAATGAAAACATGTTCATGATTTAATCAGCTACTCCTGAGTTGCCTACCACAGCCATTGTTTCAGCCTAGACTCCCACCAGCAACATGGGAAAAAACTTGTTTCTTGACACTCCCACCCCCAAACCTCATGTCAATATCCAGTATTCTGAGCTTTGCCAAGTTGGGTCAGAAAATGCTGCCTGAGTAAAGTTTTTGTTTTTTTTGTGGAACTGGGGATTGAACTCAGGCCCTTGTGCTTGCCAGGCAAGCGCTTATTCTACTGAGCTATCTTCCCAGCCCCTGAGTATAGTTTTTGTTGCGTTTGGAGCTTTTCTTATTTCCTGTACAGTCTGTTTGTCCTGAAATGCACAAGCCCCTTTGCTGTTCATGAACCAGGATAACCAGACCTTGGTGGATTCGTTTTGTTTTGTAGTAGTAAGGACTGAAGCCAAGAGCTCTCCTGGGCTAGCTACATCCCCTGTCCCTGTTTTAGTTTTTGAGACAAGGTTTTGCTGAATCACTAAGTTGCCCAACCGGAGCTTTAATTTGCAATCTTCCCGCCTCAGCCTCTCAGAGGGCTGGGATTGCAATCGTGTACCACCATGCCTGGCTCCAGTTGGAAACTTTTGCACATGGTTATACATCCGTCCGTGCTTAGAAGTACACAGACATGGGGAGAAGACACTCTCTCAGGCTTTCACAGAGAGCACATTGGCCAAGCATTGGCCGTGACTCATCCACATGGCTGCACTGATAAAGGTTCTACAATCTGAGGTACAGGATCTCAGGACAAATCCTGAGGGCATTTCACTGACCTTCTCAGACCAAAAAGCTACAACTCTTGTTGCATAGGTCCTGCTTTACCTTGGTCTTAACCACCCAGCAGAAAAGTATGAAGACGAAATTATAAGAAATAAAGCCATGCTGTTAAGTTGAGCTGTGGGGGACTCAGGTCAATAATTTCTGACATTGACAGTTAAACAGAAGACCCAATGCTAATATGGGCTACTGGACTCTTTTAGAATATTTTGCTGAGTTTACACACCTATAATATTCAATAACGGAACTTAGAAAAAATGGGGTATACAGATGAATGTCCATTTTATATCTGTGTATTCAAAGTGGTTGGGATAGATATATAGTTACATTCTGTTAATGAATAGAATGATTTGTTCTAATGGTGTTTGTAAATAGGATCACAAGTCCGCATCTTGTACAGCAATTAACCACTAAGAAGAATATATGCAGTGTATTATTTGTTGAAAAATAAAAAAAATAAAATAAAATAAAAATAAAAAAATAAAACGTACCAATTAAAAAAAAAAAAAAGAAGAAGAAGTACATAGGATAACCAGATCATTTCCAAACTCCCAGTCTTCCTAAATCTGAATAACATCAACTTGGACAATTTTCAAATGGCCCCTGCAGACCTGGATTAGCTGCCCCTCTTGCCCTGACAGTTCCATTCCCCCAGCTCTGTGCCACTGTGTTACTCACACAGAATCACACAGCCACTAAGACGGCAGCAAGTCAGTGAAACTATTAGCGCCCCCTGGTGTCCATATAAGAGAACGCCAAATACTAATGGGACTTGACCAGATAACCCTGCCAGTCTTGCTGTTTTCTGACTGGGGAAAACAGCAAGGAATTACAAGCGAGCAAGAGAACACTGCAGGGCTGGGGAGATGGCTCAGTGGAATAAGTGCTTCCCTGGCAAGCACAAGGGCCTGAGTTCAATCCTCCGCTCCACAGAAAAAAAAAAGAGAGCAGTACCCTCTGCTGTCTCTTTCTTTCTTTCTTTCTTTCTTTCTTTCTTTCTTTCTTTCTTTCTTTCTTTCTTCCTTCCTTCCTTCCTTCCTTCCTTCCTTCCTTCTTTCCTTCCTTCCTTCCTTCCTTCCTTCTTTCTTTCTTTCTTTTTTTCTTCTTTCTTTCTTTCTTTTTCTTCATTTTAGCAGTTTTTAATTAAAAGTTGCACACAGGAGGACTTCATTCCTGCCATCTTCTCAATCATTTCTTCCTCGTATTTGCCCTTTTGCTTTCCTACTTGGTGAGACTTGGCTTTCCGTTCCAGGATCTTTGTGTGCTCTGTCTAGTTTTAGCCTGGTGACAACCACCTCTGGGGTGCACGCCCACATGGACAGCTGTGCCATTTACCTTTTCCCGCTGCCCCTGTTCAATGTAGATGACATACTTCTTCCTGTAAACCTGGACTACTTTGCTGATCTGCTGACCTTTATAGTGTCCTCACACAACCTGAATTTCAGCATCCCTTCAGATGGGTGTAGAGTGAACATTGTATTTCCATCTCGGCTCTTTGGAAAGAAAAGACATAATTTTCCTGCGAATGTGGGAAGGCGCACTGAAATGCCTTTTACGGTTTTTGCTTTGGTCCAAAGTCACAAAAGTCCCAAAGTCACAAAACTTCATTTTGGCTGCTGCAACTCTGCTGTCTTTTAAAAATTGTGGTGCTAAGGACAGAACCCAGGGCCTCACAGGGGCTAGTAGCCTTTCTCCTCCTCTCCTTTCCTCTTCTCTCCTTTCTTCTCTTCTCCCTCTTCTTCTCCTCTCCTCTCCTCTCTTCCTCTCTTGATTGCTCCAAACCCTTTTACTCATGCACCACTCCCTTATTTTTAGTAACCAACATATTTTCTCAGAGAATAACAGAGGATGACCACAAGGCATATAAACAAATACCTAAAGACATGTTTACTTCTCCAAAGGTTATGGAAGCATGTTTTGACTTGTTTGAAATGAAGAACAACTCCAAAGGCAAATAAGAGTAAACACAGACAATAAAAACACAAACAAAAACAATTAACTGTAACCAGCACTAGGGAGACTGAGGCAGAAAGACTGTGCAAGTTCAAGATCAGCCTGGGTGGGCTGCCCATATAGATCAAAGGACTAAAGCTCCTGCTTAGGCAGAGCACAGTGGCTGGGGTTTGATCCCTGGAGTGCCATGCCATCCCCACCCCAGGGACACACTGAGACTGGGCGTGGTAACGCGTACCTGTAATCCCAGTGCTTGGGAAGCTGAAAATAGGAGAATCACTCTGAGTCCAATCTGTGTAATGAGACCCTGTAGACCCTATAGACACTATATCAAATACATTAAAAAAAAAAAAAAAGCTCAGCCTGTGCTACATAGTGAGTCCATGGCCAGCATAAACTGCACAATGAGACCTTGTCTCAAAAAGACAAAACAAATAAACAATTTTTTTTTTAAAAGAGATTTTTAAATCCCAGCATTCTGGAAAGCAGAAGCAGGAAGATCATAGGTTCTTACTTATTAAGAGCTCATGCATGAAGCTTGGCAATAGAGCGCTTGCATAGCATGTGCAAGACCCAGGTTACTTCTCTAGCACTGCAAAAAGCAAACCGAGGAAGAAAAAGCTCCCTTGTCCAGGCAGAATGGCACACATGTATAATTCCAGCTACTTGTGAGGCTGAGGCAGGACGATCACAAATTCAAGCCCACCTTGGGTAATTTAGTGAGACCTTGTCTAAAAAAAAAGAAAAAAAATCTGAGTACAGTGACACATATCTGTAATCTCTAAGTTTAGGGAGGTTGAGCGAGAGAACTGCAAGTTCAAATCCCACCTCGGCAACTTAGCAAGACCCAATCTCAAAACAAAACAAAACAAAAATAAATGAAAATAAAGAAAACCTAGGGAAGTAGCTCACCGGTAGGGCACCCCTGAGTTTAACTATGCAGTTCCACAAAACAGACAAAAATGTCTAAATTCTGGGGATGAAGCCCAATGGTAGAACACACTAGATTCAACCCCCAAGAGTGCAAAGAAAACAAAGTCTCCTCAGTTTCCTATGACCACGGTAATACATCCAAATACCAGTGAATCTCAACTGCGAGGGACGTGTACAAGGGAAGACTCTAGTCACCTCCCGGTACCATTTTTGCTAAGCCCAAGGACCTTGAGGGCAAGGGTTCAAGTGTTCTTTGATAGCAGTAGGATGCCCAAAGGACAGAGTAGTTTGCTTTGAAGCTTTGGTGATCTGATAGGCTAAAATGGAAAGCAGAACCTACCAGTGTCTCTCTTCAGCCCTGTTTCTCTTTTATTCACTGTGCTGGTGCCCAGGACCTAGTGCATGCTTGTCAAGTGCTTTCCTGCTGAGCCACATCCCCAGCCCTGAAACTCTTAGTTCTCAACTGCCTTTGAGGATAAAGCAGTTTTTTAAAAATGTTTTTAAGGGGCCAGGGAGATAGCTCAGTAGAATAAGCGCTTGCCTGGCAAGTGCAAGGCCCTGAGTTCAATCCCCAGTACCAAAAAAAAAAAAAAAAAAAAAAAAAAAAAAAAACCCAGAAAAAAAAAAATAAGTTTAGACAAGCTTCAGATGGCCAGGAAATAATATTACCCTTACTTGTTAATCTTGTGGAATTCAAGGTCCAAATCTCAGAATCTTGGTAGCAAAAACTGGAGAACAAGACAAAGATAAACACATGGGCTGGCAAGTGCAAGGTCCTGAGTTCGATCTCCAGTACAGAAAGAAAGAAAAAAGACAGGCACAGGCTAGATGTGAATCTTCCCATGGGAACACACACTTTCCTATTATGCACTGTTTGATGACTAAAGCACTGGATTAGAAACTGTTGGACTATAAAGTAATAGTCCCAGAGCTGAAATCTTGACTAAGACTACACAATATCCATTTTGAGGCTATTGGGGTAATTGAGGCCTTATAAATAGCTGTGGTAAGATTTATGATTCCTGAGGTGGGGATTTAGCGGGGTGTGTATTTTAGATCCATTAATATATCATACACCTTTAATCTGAGCACTTGGGAGGCTGGGCTAGGATTACCATG